TGCAGAAGGAGGAGGAGCAGCATCGTGTTCTGACCCTCCTGCAGAAGAAGGAGGAGCAGCATTGTGTTCTGAACCTCCTGGAGAAGAAGGAGGAGCAGCATCGTGTTCTGACCCTCCTGCAGAAGGAGGAGCAGCACCGTGTTTTGAACCTCCTGGAGAAGAAGGAGGAGCATCACTGTGTTCTGAACCTCCTGCAGAAGGAGGAGGAGTAGCACCGTTTTCTGTATCTCCCGCAGATGGAGGAGCGGTGGACACGGTACTACTCCTCCTTCACCTGTAGAAGGTTCAGAACACGGTAATGCTCCTCCTTCTGCAGGAGGCTCAGAACACGCTGTTGCTCCTCCTTCACCTGCAGGACATTCAGAACACGGTGCTTTCCTCCTTTTGCAGGAGGTTCAGAACACAGTGATACTCCTCCTTCATCTGCAGGAGGTCCAGAACACAGTAATGCTCCTCCTTTATCTGCAGGAGGTTCGGAACACAGTAATGCTCCTCCTTTATCTGCAGGAGGTCCAGAACACAGTAATGCTCCTTCACCTGCAGGAGGTTCAGAACACGGTAACGCTCCATCACCTGCAGGAGGTTCAGAACACAGTAATGCTCCTTCACCTGCAGGAGGTTCAGAACACAGTAATGCTCCATCATCTGCAGGAGGTTCAGAACACAGTAATGCTCCATCACCTGCAGGAGGTCCAGAACACAGTAATGCTCCTCCACCTGCAGGAGGTTCTGAACACGGTGCTACTTGTGCCACTACATGGTGGTAATATATGAAATGTTCTTTAATTTGCGCTCCTTTATTTCATCTAACTGCAGAACCACTTTTCCAAAGCTTAATGTTCTGTGGATCAGCCCAAGGTTCTTTGGGACTACATGTAGTTGAAGGTTCTGTGACATCAGCTGAAGGTCCTGTGCATCAGCTGAAGCTCTTATTAGTTACAGCTGTTCTCAAATCTTAAAAACATATTTTGTTGCGTTATCCGTCAGCTCTGTTTGTGTTGAGGATGACTCTCAGCTACTACCACTCCAAACATTAAAAAAAAAAAAAAAAATTTAATTACTTTATTTTACCAGGATGAAATCCGATCATCAATCTCTTTTCCAAGGATGTCCTGGAGAACACTGTTGGCTCAGTACCTGTCGAACTGACTGTTGTTTGGTGTGCTGAGGGCATTTAGCTGTGGCGGCCATCTTTGATCATGTGTACTCTAAAAGTAAACGAGCTGTAGATGTTCATACTCCAGGAGTTCTTTCACGGTGGTGGGTGATCATGTTGTTGGTTCTGATGTAACATTGGACCGTAAACATGGACTCTGGTTAGAGGTAATGTTTAAATGAACAATCATGTAAATAAATGAGGCGTAATTGTGTGGTGAGGTGAATCATGTTTCTCCTTGTGGCAGGGTTGGTTCTGACCCGTTTCCTCCCATCTGATGAGTTTCAGCGTGGCTGTTGGAAGCAGGAAGGAAAAAAAACTGAAGCAGAATCTTCTGTGGGAGCTTAATGTTAAAAGTTCTGTTTGTGTGTGGAGGAGCTGCAGCAGAACCTCCGTGTTCTGCTGGGTTTCTGCTCGCATGGTTCTGCAGAACAAAGATCTCCTCCTACACAGAAGGTCCACAAACAGCCCACCAGGTTCAGCATCCGACGTCATGGCAACAGACGAGGCAGCATCCGACTCTAAGTCAGCTGAAATGAAACACACATTTTTAACTATCAAATAAAACCTGGCTGTAGCAGCTGCTGATTAGCTGCTGCTGATTAGCTGCTGCTGCTGATTAGCTGCTGCTGATGATTAGCTGCTGCTGCAGCGTTTCGTCTTCCTGGTAACTAATAACGTCTGCAGAGGTGCCGACAGCTGAAGGTTTCATTTTGTTTTTAGTTATCGGCTGATGAAGGGATCAGTCCGACTCTGGTTGTGTTTGCAGCAGGCGTTGCCATGGCAACTAAATATGCACGGTGACACCGAACACCCTCAGCAATCTGCTCATTTGGTTCTGCTCTGACCCGGCCCGGCCCACTGAGCTCATTTTCAGAATCAAGTTTGATGTCGTCTCAGAGAATTGCCTCGAGTGAAGAACGTCCTACTTTATCTCTGTGTGTGTGTGTGTTTGTGTTTTAGCCTCTCATTTTCCAGTCAGTTTGTGTTTTCCAGAACCTTTAAGGCACAATCAGAAACCAGATTCTGGACCTCACACAAACCTGATGTTTCGTTGTGTTTTGTGTTGTTTTCCTCACAGCTGCTGATTGTAAAATCAAAACAGTCGAGTCCTTCGGAGCACAAATGTTTGATCTGCATCTGTTTGACACTCGGGACTCTCAGAGGAACAAGTAAAGAGAATAACTGCTGACCTGGATTCACAGACTGAACGCAGAAACACGTGTGAGGAGGAGGAGCAGGAGGCGAGGATGTGTTGATGCTGTGACACCCTCTGGGTAACAGCTGGGTCTGTGCAGAGTCTGCAGCTCCAAGCGCGCAGAGAAGTCCAGAACAAGCTGCTGATCATTGTGTTAGAAGCACTAATGCACCCCCATACCATCAGAGAGGCAGCTATTTGACCTGTGAGCTGATCCAGTCTGGATGGTCCCGCTTTAGTACAGTTTCCAAACAGAACTTGAGATTTGGACCAGTCTGCGCACAGAACAGTGCTGGACTTTGACTCAGTCCATTTGAAACATGTACTGGTCCAGAGAAGACGGCAGCGGTTCTGGATGGTGTTCACATCTCTGAACAGAATCAGACCTGGTTTTAATGTAGCAGGGTCCAGAACAGAACCAGACCTGGTTTTAATGTAGCGAGGTCCAGAACATAACTAGACCTGGTTTTAATGTAGCAGGGTCCAGAACAGAACTAGACCTGGTTTTAATGCAGTGAGGTCCAGAACAGAACCAGACCAGGTTTTAATGCAGCAGGGTCCAGAACAGAACCAGACCTGGTTTTAATGCAGTGAGGTCCAGAGCAGTACCAGACCTGGTTTTAATGCAGTGAGGTCCAGAGCAGAACCAGACCTGGTTTTAATGCAGAGGCCCCTGAGGGCCTCATCCTTTGAGCTCGGGTTTCTTCAGATTCTTCTAATCTGTGGATCAGATTATGAACTGGAGATGATGGAGATTAGTCTTTATCCAGGAACTTTATTCTGAAATTATTCCTCTAGGTTTAGACAGACTACTGTACCTGTGCCCGTCTGTACTTCTAACAGTCTTCTAACTGACCTGCTGCTCGTTCACCTCATTAGTCTCTAAATGTTGGTTCTGATCCGCCCTCTGACTGTCGCAGCCTTCTGTTGGTTCTGTTGGTTCTGATCCGATATGTTTTCCGTGATCCGCTCTGAATAAAATTCAGTTTGTGAGGTTTGCAAACGGCTGCGTTCTTTTATTTTACACATCGACCGGACTTTGCTGGACTGGAGTTGGTACTGGACCGGTTTGCTCCCTCTACCTTTGTGTTTTTTCTTTCACGTGACCCAAAGTGGTGGTTCTGGTGGACGCAGCGGCTCGACGGGTTCCGTCTGGTTTGTTGGTGTAAACTCCTCCTGAACTTCAGATCCAAGCACCTCCAGAGGTTTGTGGTCCTCGGTCGCTCTCTTCCCACACCGTCGTCTCGTGTTCTGACTTGAGGACCGGTCCAGTGAGGAGTCTTGCTGTGGGAACGGGTCCAGAGCCACTCGGCCCGTTCCCAGGGGGCTTTAGGGTTGGCGACCTCTGACCCCCAGAAGCGAGCTGACAGCAGAGATCAGGATCATCGTGTCCGAACCTGAATCCACGTCGAATTTAGTTTGGTGGCTGATGGTGGTTCTTAAACAACCGAAGGTTTTAGCTGTCGCTGCAGCAGGTGATCGGGTGTCTGTTAGTAAAATATCACATGAACTAGACAACAGCTTTTAATGAGGGTCAGAAAGTAATCATCCGATGAGTCAGCCTGATTAAAGATGGCCGCCTCAGCCAATCCACTTTAGCAAATACAAAAATGTGAGTTTAGCAGCTACAGTTTGGTGTGGTAGTAGCTGAGAGTCGTCCTCCACACGGACTCTTGAGGGCTGACTGATGCATCAGACCTTTGTTAAAAACTGAAGCACGCAGTTCATAAAATATGTACGTAAACTACAAAATGTTGAGTCTGTTTTTCATAAACTTGTTCATTCTGTAAATGATTGTTTTTATTTATTGTTTTGAAAAGTGAAACTGATTTAAAACAACTTGTTTCTACAGCTCGTGTCATGTGACATGTTTGCTTCTGAATAAAGAATCTGTTTTATTCTGAGTTAATTTATTATTATTATTTTTACCTTTTAGTTAGGGATGCACAGTATTGGATTTTTGGCCGAAATCTAATATGCTGATATGTTCAAACTTATTTGGCCGATAACCGATATCAATACTGATATATTTTTTCCTAGACCTACTTACAGAGACTACATAGCGTTCTCTGCTACGGAATTAAAATACTACATTATTCATTTTCAGTCAAACTTTATTTATACTGGTTAGGGGATCTCCTGGACACCTCCACGTGGAGGACAGAGGGACAGGTTGGTGGGATTCTCAGCTGGATTGGGAACACTGTGGAGGAGAATCGCCAGGGCCCAGAGAAGACAAAGATGATGATGTAATCATTGAGTTGTTTCCTGTTAAAGTCCATAAAGGAATTCAATAAATCTGTTTCCTGTCTGCTCCGCAGGCTCAGATCGCCTTCCTGCAGGGGGAGCGTCGAGGACAGGAGAACCTGAAAAAGGATCTGGTGAGACGGATCAAGATGCTGGAGTACGCTCTGAAACAGGAGAGGTGAGGCCACACTGCCGGCCTCTGATTGGTTAATCCAACTACTGTTGGGTTTTAATTTTAAACATCCTGATCTGAAAATGATACACATCTGACCTCATCTTTAAGAATTATTAATATTAATATGTTTGTTATTATTGTTATTATTATCATTATTAATGGTATAGTTCAGTATAAAGACAAACAACCATATTTTCTTTTATTTTTGACTACATCCGTCCTGAGAGGTGGGAGACACCTGGACAGGTGTTCAGTCCATCACAGGGACAGAGTTGTTTTTTTGTTAGGAATCATTTCTAAACTTTTGGATTTCTGAAAATCATCTTAAGCACTCGGCGTTTCTTGATCCTGTTTAAAGAATATAAAACTTTATTTTTATATTGAGCAAAATAAAAAAAATATGATAATCTTCCAAAGTTATACAAATCAGTAATATTTAAAAACTAATTAATGCTCCATCTGTTACCTTTTTGTTTTATAATCTTGTAAAAGTTGACCTTTAAAAAAAATTCTGCACGAAATTTTTATATCTGTTTCTTTGTCAAAATAAGCATCATTAATGACTGCTAAGGTAAAATGGAATATTTTAATATTATGTGACATTTTAAGCAACGTTTATGACCTTTACATTCTAAACTAAATCAGAATTCAGATAAACCCAGAGTTTCTGTCAGGTGCTTTTAATCTGCCTTTTTTTTATAGATTACAAACAGATTATCTGCCGTTAACTCATCAGATTACCTGTTAATGTTTCTCTTCAGAGCCAAATATCATAAACTGAAATATGGGACAGAACTGAACCAGGGAGAAATCAAACCTCCAAACTATGATTCAGGTGAGAAAACACCAGGTAATTTAAAAAGAACTACAACTGTTACTGCCACTGTTGTTTCTGTTTCTGCCACTGTTGTTTCTGTTTCTGCCACTGTTGTTACTGTTACTACCACTGTTGTTAATGTTACTACCACTGCTGTTACTGTTACTACCACTGCTGTTACTGTTTCTGCCACTGTTGTTACTGTTACTACCACTGTTGTTACTGTTACTACCACTGTTGTTACTGTTACTACCACTGCTGTTACTG